GGTGGCCCACGCACTTAGGGCCACCCGATGGGCCCCATATCTTCAGGGGCCCGGTCAGCGCTGTGGCCATGGTATAGCGCGACCGGGCCCCTTTAAAAAAAAAATTAGAAATGCCACTCCGCGCGGGAGGAGCACGTGCCTGTCAATGAAGAGGAAGAGCCAGCTGACGCCCAGTCCCATCAGCCCCAGCCACCCTCCTGCAAAGACAAGGTAAGAGACAGGAAGGTGGCTGGAAAATGAGCTGTGAGTGTATGTATGTATGTCATTATGTATTTATGTCTGTATGCATGTCATTATGTGTGTATGAATGTCATTATGAATGTGTGTATTTATGGATGTCAGTGTCTGTATGAATTTATGTATGCCAGTCAGGGCCGGTGCTAGGATTTTTGACTACACAGGCGAAGATGCATTTTGACGCCCCCCCCCCAAAAAAAAAAAAATAATACAATGCATCTTCACCTCTGTGTCTCGTAGCCCCCTTTTGAATTTCTTACCCCCATTAGTGTTGCATATCCACTCTCTTGAATGTCTTATCCCTTTGGCCCCTTTGTGCCTTACACCCCCCTTTAGTGTGTCTCCTACAACACCTCTTATGTATTTCTTACTTCCCCGCCAGCCCTTATCTATCTCTCTTTTTCTTCCACATAGACATAGATACAGGCAAAAATACATACATGCACAAATACACAAACATACAGACACACAACCATACAAGCACAAAGACATAATTTTTCAGGCACACAGTCACAAAGATATACAGACACACAGTCATAAAAGGCACACAAACAAACACAGTCATACAATCTACACATACAGGTACATTGTCATACAAACACAGACATACATTCATACAGACACAGGCCCTCACAGAAATACAGACAGACATAAAGAAACATAGAGATAGGCATACAGAGACATACATACACAGATACCGTGTAAATGCTCTGGCCATCAACAGTGGTGGATGCTCCGTGTCAGGCGGACATCGCTGGATCCACCAGTAAAGTCTTCAATAGGAATAAACGCAGGCAACACTCCAATAGTAAGGATGGTATATTTATTGGTAGGTGAACCACCCCATAGAAAGTGTGATGTTTTAGCTCATGCAATAAGGCTCTGCTGAGCTGAAACAACGCACTTTCTTTGGGGTGGTTCACCTATCAATAAATATACCATCCGTACTATTGGAGTGTTGACTGCGTTTATTCCTTTTGAATACATACACACAGTCATACAGAGACATACATACTGTATGTCTCTGTATG